TCTTTCTACTGGATTTTAAAATGTAAGCTTTAGAGTTAACAAGTAGGAATGCTTCTATCGCATACAGAAGCCCTCACTCAAAATGGCTGGAGCAAAATAAAGATTTGAGTGGAGAGGAATATATAAAAATGGTGGTATATTGAATATTTATAGCAACTAATATGAACCAACTATTGTAAGTATCAATGTTAATAAGTATAGAAAATGTGTTAAATGAAAAATAAGTTGGTAGATGGGTTAGTATTTAGGTAAATACACTATTATATATTACTTTGGGACAAATACACATGTAGTAAAAGTATAAAAATATGGGGAGAAACAATAGGTATCACATTTGGAGCAGGGGAATAAAGTAAGAAGAAGGATTTGGAAAGGTTACAAAGGGAGTTTCAAATACATCTATTAATGTTATTTTACTTAAAACAAATCTGGTGAGGATGGGATAGAGATGGAAGAGAAGGGAACAGAACTTGTTGAAAGCCTTACTGTAGAAGTAGAGCAGCTGCTTCATTTTTTTTTGGTTGGCAGTGTCTTTGCATTTCTAAGCCAGGACAGACAGTGGGGAGGGGCAAAGCATCTTTCTACCTTCTTTTCAGCCATCGGGTTTTCTGCAACCCAGTGCCAACACATTCATGGGTCACCAATTATATTTCACGATCCGATTCTAAGGGCTTTACAAATAATGGCCATTTCTCCCAGATTTTGACAATTAATTTCCAGTTTTAGTTTTCACTATTGTAAGTTTCCATCATTTTTTGGGGGGGCGGGGGGAGGGTCTTATTAAGCATTTGTATTAGTCAAAATAGGCTAGACTATACTGATGTAATAAACAAATACCCAAATTGCAGTGGCTGAATCCAGTGAAGATTTTTCTTTCTAGCTCCTGTAGTGTCCTATTTATATATTCCTGGTCACTAGGCTTTCCTCAATGCATCTCTGCAAAGAAGTATCCTCATTTATCCAGGCTTCTTACATTGTACAACTCTGCCACCTTCTTAGACATAGGGATGGAGAAGAAATATGGAGGCAGTTGTGAAGAATGTTTAATGGCCAGTTCTAAAAAAGTGGTGTACTTCACTTTTGGCCAATACCATCAGCCAGGATTCAGTCACATAGTCTCACCTAGATGCAAAGGGACCCAGGGAATGTAGCCTTCCTCTGTGCCTGAGAGGAGGATAAAATAGTTTGGTGAATCTATAGCATTGTCCAGCCACCAGATTTTATTGAGAATATAAGACCCTGAGACAGAACTTAAAACCACCACGTTTATTTTTTTAACTTTTGCTTTTAATTATTTACTTAGTCGTTATTAATCATGTGATAAATACCTGGAAACTCACCAGCCAGAATAAGATCAGGGACCCTGACAATACTCTACAACTAACTATATAGCCTTCCTTTCCTACATCCCTGACTCTACACAAGATAACCATCATCCTAAAACAACATTGATCACTTCATTGTTTTCTTTTTTTTTAAATCAAATTTTCATCTTGAGATAATTCTATATTCACATGTAGTTGTAAGAAATAACACTAAGAGATCCTGTGTGCCCTTTACCCAGATTACTCCAGTGGCAACACCTTGAAAAACTATACTATAATATCATAACCGGGACATTAACATTGATGTAGTCAAGATATAGAACATTCCCATCATCACAAGGATCAGTTATGTAGCCACACCAGCTTCCCTTGGGCCCTCGAACCCTTGTTAACCTCTGGCAACCACGAGATTTTTCTACTTTTGTAATTTTATAATTTCAAAAATGTAATCTAAATGGAACCACTTCCCTTTGATCAGAGTTTTTTTTTTTACTCATCATAATCCTTAGGAGATTTATCTGAATTGTTGCATGTACCAAAAACGCATTCATTTTTATTGCTCAGTAGTATTCCATGATACGGACGTGTAGTTTGTTTAACCATTCACCCATTGAAGGACATCTAGATTGTTTTCAGTTTTGAACTGTTACAAATAAAGCTGCTATAAATGTTCAAGTACAGTTCCATTTTTGGTGAACATACATCTTCATTTCTCTGAGATATGCCCAGGAGTGCAAATGTTGAATTCCATGTTTTAGCTATTCTAGTTCCCTGTCTTTCCATGTACTGTAAACTGTAGAATGATCTTGTGTATAACTACAAAAAGTCTTGCTGGGATTTTGGCAGAAATTATGTTAAACCTATATATCAATTTGGGGGAGCATCAACAGCTCTACTATGTTGTCTTCCAATCTATGAACATGGTTTGACTCACCTTTTAATTAAATCGTCTATGATTTATTTCATTACTGTTTTGTAGTTTTCAGCATACATGTCCAGTACATATTTTGTTAGATATATACTAATTATTTTTTGTTCAGTCATTAATGATATATTTTAAATTTTGGTGCCCACATGTATTCATAGCTAGTATATAAAAATATACTATGATACACTTCTATGATATTTGTCTTGTTCCTACAACCTTACTGAATTCATTTATTATTTCTAGGAAGTTTTTTGGAAATTCCTTTGGGAACTTCGATTTAGACAGTCATGTTCTCT